ATTGTTTCTCTTTCAGTCCGTCTTTTACTGCAATTTGCAATAAACATTGAACTAGCTGCACAATTTCATTGATTGCGATACTATTAATTTTGTTTTGATTTATTTTTTGGGTATTGGTTAAACTGACTTTTTGGGGTTTGCTTTATGATCGACTGCAATTTCGCAAATCATTTTCTTTATCTCTATTTTTATTTTCTCATCCTATTTTACCTCAATCTTAATCCTGAATCTTTTTACAAATGTTTTCGTTTTCTCTTCAAATCTCTCTTTCACTGCCATTTATAATTACAATCGAACCAACTCAACTATTGCGTTCTCCCCATGGACGAATATGCAATGGTGTTTTGCATTATTTATTTTTGGGCATTGGTTTTACTGACATTAGGGTATACTTTATCCATCTGTACAAAGCACACATCCATCATCTTGATTGATAGAGGTGATGTTGATTTAGTTTATTAATAGCTGAAGAGATCGCCATCTACAGTATTACAAGATATCAAGATACAAGATACAAGATTAACTTTACATTTCATGCAAATATCATGTCTTTTTCACGTGGGTTACTAAGCAGTAATCATGCTGATCACTGCTGATGATGAGTTGAGAGTGTTGAAGATTCCATTGCATGTCCCATATATCGAAGTGAGGGAATGGTAGAGTGATTTGTAGCTGTAGTGTTTGGGGGTTATAAATATTCAAACTAGAGTATTTTTCATATAGGATTAACTGCTTGTCCGACCATAGATTTTCATGGTTGAAGAATTGTGTGAAATTATCGAAGTATTTGATATTGTCTTTGTATCTTTTCATGAGTAAATCCATTCCATCTTGGTTGAGTATCTATAGGCATTGAATTTTATGATTAGCACAACCTACGTTCAACAATGATTGTAAACGTCACATTGATTGTATCCAGTTATCGTTGTCTTACTGCACTATGGTCTCCATTTTCCAGAAGTGGCAAAAAATTGATATTTTTCTATAATGAATTGAATGGAATGTAACGATCAGCTATGGACTAGAGTAGAGCTCCTTACATAATCAACTCATTACAGTCGTTGTCATCCTCCTTCCAACTCATTTCCATATTGACACTGCGATCATTATGACTTACCATTACATAATCAATGATTGCTAATACATTAGCAATCATTTCGGCATCTTTCT